CCGCCTTCACCGCCGCCGCCCTCGCCGCCGCCGCCGAGCCCGCCGCCTCCCAGCCCGACGCCTCCCTCTCCGCCTCCTCCCTCGCCGCCGCCGCCTTCACCGCCGCCTCCGTCTCCGCCCCCTCCGAGCCCGCCGCCGCCTTCGCCGCCGCCGCCGTCCCCACCGCCGCCCTCGCCGCCTCCTCCCTCGCCGCCGCCGCCCTCGCCGCCGCCGCCCTCGCCGCCGCCGCCGTCTCCGCCCCCTCCGAGCCCGCCTCCGCCCTCGCCGCCTCCGCCCTCGCCGCCTCCGCCCTCGCCGCCTCCGCCCTCGCCGCCTCTGCCCAGCCCGCCGCCACCGTCACCACCGCCGCCGTCTCCGCCGCCTCCCACACCGCCGCCGCCGAGCCCTCCCCCGCCGTCGCCGCCACCCCCCTCGCCGCCTCCGCCCTCGCCGCCCCCACCCGGCCCGCCGCCCCCCTCTCCGCCGCCGCCCTCGCCGCCGCCGCCCAGCCCGTCTCCGCCATCGCCTCCGCCGCCCTCTCCTCCGCCGCCATCGCCGCCTCCGCCCTCGCCGCCCCCGCCCGGCCCGCCGCCGCCCCCCTCGCCGCCGCCTCCGTCGCCCCCCCCGCCCAGCCCGCCGCCGCCCTCGCCTCCGCAACCCTCGCTGCCGCCGCCCTCGCCTCCGGCGCCGTCGCCTCTGCCGCCGTCGCCTCCGCCGTCGTCGCCTCCGCCGCCCTCGCCTCCGCCTCCCTCGCCGCCTCCGCCCTCGCCGCCTCCGCCCAGCCCGCCGCCACCATCACCGCCGCCGCCGTCTCCACCGCCTCCCACACCGCCACCGCCGAGCCCGCCCCCGCCGTCGCCGCCACCCCCTTCGCCACCACCGCCCTCTCCTCCGCCGCCGTCACCGCCTCCCCCGTCACCGCCGCCACCCAGGCCGCCGCCACCATCACCACCGCCGCCGTCTCCACCACCTCCCACATCGCCACCGCCGTCGTCACCGCCTCCGTCGTCGCCGCCGCCATCGTCGCCGCCTCCGTCGTCGCCGACACCGAGGTCGCCACCGCCGACCTCGCCGCCGCCCTCGTCGCCACAGCCAACGAGGCCGCCACCGCCGACGCCGCCGCCGCCGTCGCCGCCGCCGCCGTCGCCGCCGCCTCCGTCGCCACCACCGCCCTCGCCACCGCCGCCATCGTCGCAGCCGCCGTCATAGCCGCCGCCGTCGTCGCCGCAGCCATCACCGCCACCGGCAACTCCGCCACCGCCTACGGCGACGACGTC